CTACCTCTGCCACTGAAACACCTAAGTGTTTTCCAAATGTGTAACTGTCATTCTCGTGTGAATTTCGCTCTAAACGATAACAGATGCAGTATAGAATGCTCATTTCGGCAGATATAGCATGACTATCAACCATACTGGGGCAGAGGTAATGTAGTTTTGAGTGGCACGCTTACCACCGCACAGTCCGGGGATCAAATCGCGAACCAGCTCTCGCCGAGCTTTCTATTCCCTCGTGCGGTAAATTGGTACCAGATTTGTCTGGGAGGATAAGAACACTGACTTGTACATCCACTAGCCCCGCAAGTCATTGTATGGGCCATATCGTACTCATTAAGTCACGATTCTGGATGCGTGCCGCATTCCGAAAAGGGATTTATCAGCGGTGAAGACTATTCTATATTTCTCTCGACCATACAGATAATTTCACTTTTTTCGACTACGAATTTATTTGTAAGTCTCTGTATTTTTGCCCAGCCCAACGGAAGATCCGTGCTATTGAGTTTAAAGCGATATCCCTCGAGTCACATTGCTGTCACGATCACCGCTGTAGAAACAAAGGGTGCCGTATTACGTAGTCGTCCTTTGAGAGCGAGACAATGTGGTAGAATCGTGTTAGTGGAGACCGAAGATCTCTGACTGTCGCCCAGTGATCTCTGTCTTAACGCGGGAACCCGTTGTGCGTTTGTCGCACCCGTCTGTCACGTTTAGGACAGATGTTGATGTCCAGGAATTCGTACGCACAGTGGTTCAGAGAACCTTTCAGAAGAGTGCATGTAAAGTGTTCGTCGACGATCAACCCGTTCTTTAATGCGTTATGGGTCGCGTCATGCGTTCCGCTGCCAGCTGTATTGGATGGGTCTTTGGATTTGTATATGGTGAATGGCAGAGCTCTGCCGATGTTTATATCATGTTTCCGTTCTTTGGGCAAGTTCGGCGTCACTCGCCTGGGAGGAACAAGGACCTGATCAGGACTGTAGGACGCTTCAATGAGACTTGTGGAGGCACCATCTGGCCGTATCGCTACTTCTCCTCCAAAGTCGTCATTTCAGGCCATCCTTTTTCCTTCTAGCTTATCTAATGTATGTTGCCGTACGTTTTCGGCGACGAGGGGGCCTTTTTGCCTTGTCGCTGCTTCACTAGATCCGATTTGCCAGTCTCACTCGGTTGAAACCTGTAAATTCTTGTGAAGCTGGGTAAGCTTGTAGAGTCACTATGGTAAAGGCGCAGTTTGGCGACGGGGGGGGGGGGGGGGGGGGATTTTGCTTCCCATTAATGTGTCGACCCATGGCCTTCTCTCGAGTTGACAAGTTTTACCACAATGAGCAGAAGGAGCTTAGCACAATGAGTAGATCAGCTTTACAAAAGTTCACGAATTACACCTGAGTGATAATTGTAAATCGGATGTAGTGAAGCAGTGGAAGTGTGAAATGCCCCCCGTCGCCGAACTGCGCTCCATGGTTAGACCTGTCAACTCTTGTGAGCCCATAAAATGGCTCTCTAGATGTGTAGACACGTCTATAAGAAGTAAAAGTGCGTCCCCCGTCGCCAAATTGCTCCCATCTTTTCTACTCTCATCCAGAGCCTCTAGTGCTGCTGCATTGAACCTCTTAATCGGTCCTGGAGTTGTTCGTACGCAGGCGATGGCACCATCCGACATTGGTCATGGTAATGGGCAGATGATAGCGTCTCTCGGTCGCCTGTTTTATGTTTGCAGTTCGCAAAATTCCCCCATGCCATGTCGAATTCACGTGAAAAATATCTGATCACTTTGCATTTCGTGAATCAGCGCTAAATGTGTTGATTCAGATAACAGGTTTTGCAAGAATTAAAGACCAAACGGGTTCAGCGAAGTGGGGCATCATTTTGGTTCGTGAACAAAGATTCATTCATGAGTTATGTTGGGCAAGGACAAGAGGTTGTTATTCGAGTACGGTATGGAGTATGCCTTTCCTTACTTTTTGTGCGAAATATCGTTCAGTGGTGGTTCTTGGCGTATTAGCAGTGCAATAAGGCGATTTTTGGGGGTGATACGCTTTTTTGAGGTGAACTTTGGAACAGACGAACGCTCAACGGTCGATTACATGAAAAACTGGTGCCCACGCCTAGGAAAACCACATTTCTCACCTGTTGTTTCTCTTTGCACGGTTCTCCATCGACTGCATTATTTGGGGTTTCTAGCCCAATTTTTTTTCATTTTTTCGGTCATATCTAACTTCGCTCTTCACTAGTATGGAACAATAGGGCTACTGTGACCTTCTGACTGAATAAGCTCTTGATCTGAGAGAAGACGGCTAAGAAGGGAAAGTTAGGCTGAGAGGGGCCACGAACTACTTCTTGTGCTGAACTGGCATTGATGTAACCCCTTTTCATATGCAAATCGGTTCATCTGCTCGGCAGCTACTTGCCCCACGGTCATAGAAATCCTCACTTCCTTTTCGGCAATATCCCAGTTTTGCGCGAGCAGCTCTCCCTCCAGTTTTCCCATCTCAGCAAATTCAGACGGACATCCTCCTCTCCGTAAGTCACAACCGCTTCTTCGCATCTTTTAGCCCAAAATTCTGTCCAAAATGGGAATATTCAAGACGTGACGCGCAAACAAGGCCCGTGACATCTCCTTGCTTCAAAGGCATAAGATACGATTATTTGGTGCTTGCTCAAAAGTAGTAGCACGGGTGCTATATAGTGGGGAAAATGACCAACAAGCGAAGTTAAAGAAAAAGCTGAAACCGTAAAAGTGAAAAAGCCTTTGAACAGCAATGGACGAGGCATTTCTGGACGAGTTCTGGAAAGAGTGCCAATGTCGATGTGACTATTCGGCCTTGTGGGTTGGCGGTCGCAATGGCCGTTCGGGTCGGCCCGATGCACCTTGGTTAGGGCCACTGTAATGTCTTTGGTTGGAGAGGACGCCCGTACAACGCTTTGCCCGAGACGAGTACTCATTTCGTGTTAGGCGTCTTTCCGTATACGCCGTGCCTATTTAATGTGCCACTTACTTTAAGAAAAATCTTGTGCAAAATTGTAAATTTCCGCAATTAGAAATGCCATCGCGAATACCCGCACATCACAGGGCGGAGCGGATTGCCAATTTGCCCATTTACGTTCATGGATGGACTACACCACTCATGATCAGCGTTCCTGCCTGCTGTTTCAGTCTGGCGTTGTATTCGGTTACGACGTAAGCTGGAATCATGTAGCGCGCGAGAAGAATAACCTCTGACTTTTTCCGTAAAGCGCTAGGGCATATTTGAGTACATTCTGATATGCAGTATCCGAAGATGCCTATAGAAGAAAAGATCGCATCTTAAAGACAGCTCCCGCGATAAAAGTCTCATGGATAGCTGCTTTCCAATTATGAAACAGTAGCTGATAAGTAATCTCCCAAAGAAGAAAACAGGCAAGAAGCGTCCTCCAGAACATAAACAAAATCGCTCCCTCACAGTCACACCTCCCTGCGGTCTCTGTGCAACCCCTAGCTCACAAATCTCTCTATCACATCTCGCAGTAGTTGATATCATCCAGTGCAAAAAAAAGAATACAAAAAGAAAACAACAAAAACGCAGAGGAAAAACTCTTGGAAGGAAAAAGGAATTTTATCAACGCGGTGTCTGAATTTGGGATTACGGTAGCGCACGTTTTGTGCGTCGAGGTTTTGCATCACGAAAATTGCGTCACTCGTGCTTTTTACGCGTTTCACCTCGCGAAATGAGTTGAATTGAATGTATATACCTCCAATGAGTAAACTGTAATAAAGGGGAGCAGAATTATCCATGGGCATTAGCAATGCCCGCCGCCCCGACTAAGAACAACTGAGTGGCCTCGTCGGAGGACATCTAGCAAGTAAGGCGGTCCAACTGAGCAGGCGTTAGAACTAGAACTTACAGCGGCTGTAGCTCGCTTCTCGCTCGCTGTGCAGACGAATAGAGTGGGACAGTCTCTAGCTTGGGGGCTGTACTACTTGCACAAGGAAGGACGACCATGTACTACTCGAGCGCGGGGGCTGTCTTTAAATGGCCATGAAGTTGTAATCCTTCCATGCGAGCTAGCCCAACCTTCCCTCACACACATTCAGTTTCAGAAGAGATTAAAATGAAAACCAAAACTTGCGTGATAATTTTCTCGTTACGTGCAATCCCCCACCTTAATTACATTGTGACTTGTGCTAGGGTTTTTGGAAAGACTCCAGAAGACAAAGGTTGCTATGAGACATGAGAAACAGGAAATCATTTCCAGATATGCCCAATCGTGGAGGGTTTTATGGACGACGTAATGAGGGACGGGATCGCAGGCCGCCATATCGTGACTCGGTTAGTGCCGCCGTTGATTGTTCTTTGTTTTATCCTATTCTCGTTCTGTCCTAATGTCTGCGACATTAAATGTGTTCTCTTCAGCCACTCAGAACAGAACAGACTCAGAACAGGTTTGTTTAAGGAATGGCACAGAAATGAAGCGCAACGAGACCGTCGATCTCCCAGGAACTTCCAGCCCCAACCTCCTCCCATCTACCCGTGAAAGAACGGCTAGGTGCGCACTGTTTGTTTACTCGCTATTGTATGAAGTGTCTGACTGTAATCGACTGATTGTTTTCTTTTATTTCGCATTGTTATTCTGTAAGACATCGTTGTAGTACTTCTCAATCCGGTACTTCTTGCTCTGATGTTTCTGTTCCGAAAATCGAGTAATTTGTATTTTGTGCGCCAGATTCATTGCATTACTATTTTGTTATTTAGTAGTAGAAATTGTATATTTTCATGTTCAAGTGCTCAAAGGCATAAGGCACGGTAACTTGGTGCTCTGTCTGAAATGGTAGCAGGGGTGCTATATAAAGGGAAAATGGCGAAAAAGCGAAGTGAAACGGTCAAAAACCTGCAAAAAAGTTTTGTTCTACACGACTCAGGAAGCAATTTCGGACGAGTTTCCCGTTGGCATCGTGCCAATAACCGCTACGGTAGATGCGGCTGCCTGTGAGTGCTGCTTGTGATCTATCCTTGCAGCACCGCAGCCGCTTCATGTCGATCCCTTCGCTTCGTATTGCACTTAGGAAATGAAGCGATACGAGCAGGACATTCCTGGGCGTCCGGGTCGGTATGCTGCAGCTTGATAGGACGCCATAGGGGTACCTTCCTTGGAAAAGCCCCCACTCGGAGCCCGCTCAGGGGCGCTGAAATCTGTCCTGCTAGGCGTATTAAACGCGTCTTGGAGATTTTTCGTCCCACTTGCCTTTAACGACTGTGACTTCGATTCACTGTGCCCATACCCATTATCTCGTTCTTTTTCTACCGCCTTTGATTATCGAATTTATTTCCATACCGTGTTTATCGGTATGGTGATAAGTGGCGCCTAGGTTCACAGTTCGCCTACACTGTGTTCCCTATATAAACCAAGAGTTCTCTAAAGGGTCACTTTGATAGCAGTTTGGTCAATTTCTCTCGTGTCTACTTTGATTTGTCTCTGAGCAGTCGATCGATCGCATTATGTTTTATACCCGGCGCTGAGAATTCCGGTTCCTTTCTAATTTGCCAAATTAATCAAATTGGGCTCAAACCAGTTACCTGTGTCACTACAGGTCACAGTGTTCTGCGCAACTCTATTGCGGTCATGTCCCATAACCCCCGCTGCCTGGCAGTCTGCATTCGATGACGTCTAGAAACGTTTAGAAGAGACGTGACCGATGTCTCATTTCTGCCACAACGGAGTCTCCGCTGGTCTTATCACAAATCTCATCGATGACAGAAGTTTCTAGTAAATGGAGGCGTTAGTTTAAATAGTCAACAATATGTTCCCGACATCCGATAGTGCTGTTGCTGCCGTTTATGTGTGCGACGCCGCCCCTATACACCGTCATAGGGAATGGAGACGATGGTGTGATGTGTCGGTCGCCGTTATCGCTCTGTGTCGTCACTCGTCTCACATTCTGTCCAGATCCGCTTCGATCAACATTCATTGTATCTCGGATGTTTTAATCACGCGATTCTGACGTCTCTAGGAAGTGTGCGTTCCACACATGGTGGGGGTTCCCAGGCACGCTTTTGTTTTCTTATCGACTTTTAATTGATTCCCATGCGTCGTTATCTCGAAGCTTTTTCTGCTCCTTATCAGAGCGCTTCCAGGGGACCTGCTGCTAGTAGCAGTTTTAAAAGTCGAGGATGAAGCTGGTGTCTGTTTAAAAGGTTTGGGTTGGGAGATGGGGGAGAGGTATAGCTTGTCTGAAAAGTTCGTAGCTAATTTCCTAGTGCGTCGATTTCCTCGTTGATGTTGTCTTCGAATTTTGATGGAACTGGGCCGTCTCGAGCCCTCACTAGAGCTGTTTATTCTTCACCAGGTTTGCCCTTTAGCGTCTTGGAGATATGGAACAGTTTGGAAACTCCGACCGATATCGGCTAGCATGGGAAAATCTGTTTCCGCGGTTGCTAACTTCAAGGCATCCGCAACCTCCAAGTGCTAGCCCCGAGACCAGCATTTTTCCAATATCCCCCATTTCTAGCAGTCTGTTCCTAGGCTCTTGGATTCCATCCTCATGTCTTCTGCCACCTTCATTCTGCTCTGTACAGGTTTCTTTGCTCATTTAGCTGTTGGCTTAGTTTCAGGACGCCTAGTAGTGGCACCCCTGCGTCTTTTCCCCTTCCCGTGATTCAGGCTTAGCAGAGCGCAGATGACCGAGTCGACGCGTCATTGTCTAAAGAGAGATAGTCGCGCTGCCAAGTTGTATAGAATAAGCCCTTTTGAGAGCAGTCCCCGAGCCTTTCGAGCTACGCTAGCACTTTAGCTCATTTTTTATAATGATATTGTACCTTTGTATTTGAAGATCTCTTGCATATTTGCATGAATTATGAGACTGTATCCCGTCAAAATGTCTGAACAGCCGCTATTATTGAGAATTTGCATCGTTTCCTGGAGAATAATAATATGTCTCGAATTTTTTGCCGCTAGTGTCTTCGATAAGTGGGGCGGGGCATTCTACGACGCTCATATGTCTCTTGTTCCAAGTAAAGTTGAGAGTTAGAGTATAGACGGTCAAACTAATGGTAAAACTGTCTGCCAAGCGATACTGGCCATTAACGAATCCGAGTTAGTTCGGTAAAGGGACACAGAGGCATTGTGGAGTGCCCCCCCCCCTTTCCCCAATACATTAGTGTCAGATTTTCCTCTTCTTTTCCTATGATACATGCAAAATACCGTATTCTGAAAGTTAATTAAATGCCTTGCAATTTATGCTCGTGTATGTTGCTTCAGAGCTGATCCTTTTTTATCTCTCTGTCGTGTTTTGTACCTCTATGTTGTCATTTTGTTTCCTAATTTTTGTTTTTTTTTGTCTAATTCGCCGATTTTGTGTATAGTTAATGAGAATAAAATGCTAGATGTTTGAGGTTTAGTCTGTGCGTGTGTGAGAATTCCGGCAAGTTTCCGGTCACATTCTTACTAAACCCTCCAAACGATGGGACGTGGTGCAGCTGTGCGTAATCGTAAACCAAGCTCAACGGACACCGCTGAGCCGTTGGCGGCAAGAATGCGCGTCCCGAATAAGGTTGGCAATAGACTAACAGCTTTTTACTAACCTAATACGTTTCTTCTAATTTATAGTTTTATTCATTTATCCCTGTGAGAAATGCTTTTCATAAGGTTTCTCATATTGAACTATAAGTGGGATAACGTACGTTTTCTCAGAGACCTCGTACGGACCGCGTTATGGACGAATTGCTGTTGAACTCGAATTTGAAGTACGTCACAAACCAGATTCTCTTTTCTACGCCTAATTTCGCAATTATGTTTTGAGAGTGTTCTCACAACAAGTCCACACCCTCTGGGTTCAGGCGGGCAGATGACGTCACGAATGGAATCATTCGTCCTGTTCAGCCAATATTACGCGAAAAACCAACAACTCCGTTCATCGTGCTACCAGAAGAGGCCAGATTCGCACCACTTATTAAGAAAAGTAGATTTGCATTAGATATAGGTTAGTGTGACTTTATAATCCGGCTTCATTTTCCATGGCTTGAAAAAAAACACGTATAGTGTGAAACATTGAGAAGGAGGGGTGTTATTCCGGAAAAGGAGCGTTTTAGTGCGAAGCAGTCACGCGTTCCAAACCACGAACAACGTTCCCTCTTATCCTATCAGACAATATGGGTGACGCGGGGGATGGTGCGAAAAGGGAGTATGACCCAGGGAATCAGCTGTTTACCTGGGCCCAGATGCAGGTCGAACCTTCTGTGCTTCACTGAAATAGAAGAAAAAGGCTTTGAGCTGTGCTCATAGAATTCTGCAACCTTGAGGAGCATATAGGTGAAGCCAGCGTTAGCCAGGTACCTTGTTGCTCAAATCAGGCCAGGGGGGGCTTATTAGGTCTAAACGCAGGGTGTTCGCCTTTAATGAGAAAATCTTTTCTCATTAAAGGCGTTGTTGGCTTTCTCGGTTAGTTCCTGTTTAAATCAAGGGCACCTTTTTGAGGAGAAAAGTGGTAGGGAGTTGGAACACCTTGGAAAGGTGCTAGGTTGCATGGGGAGGGGGGTCGTATAAGAAGGAGAAGTGCTAAAGGAGGTTATTTTGTGGAAATTTTCTCTAATGGCGGGGCGCCCTGGCCATGACCGCCGCTTGGTGCGCATTTCCTGCAGAGGTGTTCAATCAGCCTTTTATGTTAGATCACATTTAACGCTGTGTTAAGGCGACCAAGCCCTAGGGGAAGGGCCTGCGAGGTGGGTGGTGATAAGAATTGACGTGGAAGAAAGCTCGTAAAACTTCCTATCTTTGGAACTCTCCTGCAAAAACGGTACAGTAATTCGATGACGTTGTTCCCAAATGTCTCCCATTATATGGGAATAGCGTCCACATCGGACGAGTTTAGACCAGCAGCCACAAAGTTTGTCCGGAGCTTTCTTCTCACGCCTATTGGAAGCTGTTGAGCTCCTTCTCACTCATAATCCTTCAAAAGAATATTTCTAGTTTGAGTTAAGGTAGGTAGTAGTTGGGTTTTATTCAGGCTAGGGGACGAGGGGAAGGGTGCGTTTCCTAAAAGATAACAAAAATGGAATATCGTTATGCCTATACCAGTAGAGATGTAAAAGCATGCTCAAGTAGATGATAGATAGTTGATGCGTTTATAACAACAACCTTTTTAGGAGGGACGTTGGTAAAACTAGTGTACTCGACAGTATGTGAAGTTGTAGAGGTTAGTTTTCTTCAATTCCATTGATCATCCTGTTCCATTGTTATGCCATATACCCAGTTTCCTTGCTCTGACAGTTCGATCATGGTGATTATAGTGTTTTCCCTGAAACTACCTGGTTTCATCGCTTTGACCAGGGAAGGATGGTAGGTCGAAGGTGCATTCTGAAATGTGATGTACACGGCCGAAGTTTCTTTAGACAGTGAATGCGTACCCATCTTTTATATTTGCTGCGGATCCGTCTGGGCAAAATTACGGCTACTTTCAAGGGCATTTAATCACACCCACAACTTATTTCGAGCGTAAGACTGCTTCAAATATGGCCCTGCCGCTCAGCTATTGAGCCTGCCATTCAGTGTTAAGTGGATGCGATCTGACCCAGATTCGAAGTTGCACTGTACCCGAAACTTGACTCTAATGTGAGGTTGCACGCTCTAAAAAAACCAGCATGACTTCGTCAAGAGAGATCCGCGGCAGGTCAGGAAGACGAAATCGTAATAATTGTCTAAAGACACTTCAGAAGGTATACTTCTCATTTCAAGCAACCTCTTCGGCCTGCCATCCTTCGTTTCTCTATTTCGTCAAGTTTCGTCATCCCTTGTAATCCTAGAGATAGCTGCTCACTGTAGAATCACGCCATTCTGCGGAAGTGTGGAGCGATTCTCGCGTGTTCAGATATCACTTAATTTGTCTGAAGATCACTTATCAGCCCTGACTTTTTAGTCGTCCTGTCTTTACTCGGACAATACAAGGAAAAAAGCTAAAAAAACTCCTGTTCAGAACTCCAATGGACCAGAAGTTCTCCTCAATTTCAAGAAGTTCACATCAATCGAAGCTTGCCTAGAGTTCATCAAAAATGTGAGTTTTACCTGGAGTTATTAAACTTCGACTTTAACGCTACAGGCCAACAAGGGACTGGGGAGGGGCTTGGTGGAGTGTATAACTGTAATGCAATGATTTGAGGTTGGTGTGAAAGTTGTTGTGGTCAAGTTCCTGCTTGATGTTCAGTACCCCGTCATTATGACATGAATGCTGAGTTATGGGCAAGTCTTAAGCTCGGGCAGGACCGGAACCCTTTCTGAGGAGGTAAAAGACTGCCCTGGTGAAACATAGTGCACTTCGGGAAGCGTAAAGTGCAGCTAGAAATCCCGCGTGGACCAAAACGTTTGCTCATGCTCAGCATTCTTGTGATAACTTCTGGGCCCGAAACGCGAACTGCGGCGGTAAACAGTAAACAAACAACAACAGATAATGACAGTAGTTATCGTAATAAAACAAGTGTCATTATCTGTTTATGAAGGGGAGACGGGAGGAAGGGGTGGGTGGGCTGCAAGTAACTGAAAATCATCAGTTCCTGACTGTTTTTTGAAAACTGTTCAAGTCTGCCAGTCAGAGTTCAAAGTGCTGTTGGAATGGTGGCGGCGAAAGTGTGCCAGCGGAATGATCGACCCGTATTTCATTTCAACGATTAAAAACCTGTTCCTCTAGTCGCATGGGCGGAGTTACTTGAACCACTGCTCCTCCCTCATTGGTGCGGTACTTGTCGCCGCCATATTAATGGAAAGGGCACATCAATGAGAAGGGTGCACCTGACCTGCTAACCGTAAGTTCACCCATATGATCAGCGTGGAACGTGACTTTAAGAGTACAGAAGAGACCATGTTGGTTTTTGTCGCCCTCTCGTTTTTGACATAATGTGATCAAGTGCAATTGGCGTGTGTCGGTGTAAATGCTTTACTTCTCCAAAGTAAAGTTGACACTTATTTTCTGGCATGCACCCCTGAAAGTCAAACGTGGGATTGGAGGTGGGGGAGAGGGCAGGGCACGCCATCGTTGTGATGTTTACAGCGAGGGAGTGGGGGTCGTATTTGGTCTGAGAAAAAAATTTTCGGTGGTTGATTTCTCTTGTTGCACGGACGGCTAAAAAAAAGGGAGGGGGTGGGGAGGATCGTATTTGGCCGTTGTTGAGAGAGGGACTGCCAAAGATCTATACAACTACTATTTCCGATAGTTGAAAATGATAGTTAAATCCTGACGACCTCCCCCCCTCGCTCGACAGCAAAATTTTGGGGAAAAACCAGAAGGAAATTTCGGAAAAACTGGTAGGAGGTTAGGGAAAATCTGAAAATCTGAGAAATTTTCCTGTTTCACAGTGGGTATAGTCCCCGCTCGACGGAAAATTCTTGGCTGAAAAACTGGAAATTTTTCGGGAAAAATGGTAGGAAGTTGGGAAAATCTAGGAAAGTGGTAGGTAGCATGGGGAGGGGGGGTCGTATTTGAGGATGGAATTGGGGGTCGTATTTTTCAGGAAATAATCACTACGGGAAGGCTGGGAGAGGCAAGGGTTGATGACGTTTTCCTTCTTTTTCACACTCGTGCTTCGGCATTCGTGAGGAACATCGTGAAACGTGAGGATGTGGTGATAGCGTGTTCTTACTGTATTTTTGTTTTGCTACACTCTAGCACTAATGTGGAAATGCGTCAGACGAGTGGGTGTAAGTGCGGTTTTTCTATATTCCCCGTCTCGTACCAAGACTGCTAATGCGATTTCTGCCGCCCTGATTTATATGTTATAAACACGATTCACGCCAAAAAGAAGAGTTTTTGGCCCTAAGCTCCAGTTTCGTAGAAGTATCGCGTAGAAGAGTAGCAAGGGTTTTGGGTAGAGAATGTCATCAGGAGCAAATATTCTTTCATTAGCAGGAGTAGAATATTACATTTTCGTGATGGTGGCGCTGTAAATGCCTTCAAAAATAGTCTTTGCTGTGAACAAATGAGTACTTTTGACACAGACACACCTAAGTATTGCGAATTATTCGCCGTTAATAACTTTGGGAGTGGGATTTGACTCTTGGTTAAAACTAGAACTATCGTAATGTTTATGAAGATTTCTTATCGAGTCTGGGGGGAGGGGGGAGGGAGGAGCTCCCT